GAAGAGGCGGCATTTAAATGCAAGCCAGATACTGTGGAGAGTCCCTTCAGTCGAAACACAGACACAAGACCATGCCTATATTCACATATTTAGGCGACTCTCGACATTAGAGATATTGAGGCTAAGACAAAACGAGGCCATCAGCCAATGCGTGGACCAACGAAGCAGCTGAACAGAAATTATGTTTATATACTTGAGCTGTGTCTACCTCAGTGGGATGGATTCGCATCCAACTGATGACGGGAGTTTTCATCTGTCCCAAAGGCGTGTCACCACTCACATTCAGGTGACAAATCACAGGGTAGTCTGAACGTCTGTTGAATGTTAACATCTCTTCAGATAAATCGACACTGTACTGCTCCTGTAGGATCTAACATTCGAATGGTTCTCTCCCAGTGACTCTCTGGTTATGCATTTACCGGAAGAAATACTGCTACAGTCAACGGGAAGTAAAATAAAACCAAGGGACTTTGTGGAATGTGAAGAAGGTTTCGTCAGGAACTGGAAAGTGTAATGCACGAGCCTTATTATTGAGGTTGTGTGGTCCATCACACTAAAATAGTCTGTCATTAAGCACAGATTTGTTTCAGCCTTGGCGTGAAGCTCTCTTTTGTACACGGAGCCTTCACATCGGAAGTGATGTACGCATGTTTGGTTACATCGTCTTCCTCCTTGTTATACGCACTTCTATTTACACATTCCCTTCTCCATTTCCGGTGTTTAGTAATTGTTGATATCTGTCATGCAAAACCATTTGGATTTCTAAACTTGGCAACAATAAAAATACCTCGACCTGGAGATCCAGCCCTTGCTCATATCATAATGCCTTTAGGATGTTGATTTAATTGGCGTGGTACTACCTTGTCACAGTGTAGCAAACCATTTGGGTAGCGCTACTAAGCAGCGCCATCAAGTAAACTGAATATGCAGATGTCTCAATACCTAGCAGCCTATAAATGGCCACCTTTAAATATAATTTGTAGACAAACAATCGAATGGTGTGAAATAACCATGCCTTAGAACAAAATCGGCTCGGTGAAACAGTACTGGCTGATGTTGTTGCGTTTATTCAACGCACTTAGTTTACCATGGAATTTAAAGACTTGCATAATTTTGCCCTCTCACAATTAGTTTCCAATCATTCTATCAAGTAACGCGTTTTGGAAGACATTGTGCTGTACAATGTGGTAGCCTGAAACAAATTAGGTTTTGGATGGAAATGGGAGATTTTCTGATCCACAACGATCAATGATGCCTACTCTATTTCGAGGCTGGTGTCACACACTGGCTTGTAGGCTCGAAATGCGGTAATGATCCCTATAAGGCAAGGCTCATTTAAAAGTAAATTATCTCACACAACTTGCAATTAGGCTGCAGTTACGTGCGCAGTGGTTATGCCTTTACAATACCTATATCGGCCTACATGGGAGAAATCTGCACCCAGGTGCCTTTTTTGCTTTATTATTGTGATTAATAACTTGACAGGATCCAAGCCCACACGAACTAATGACAATCTATAACTGCTACCACATTGATAAAGTGAT